AGAGAGAGAGAGAGAGAGAGAGAGAGAGAGAGAGAGAGAGGAAGAAAGAGAGTAGAGCGAAAGGATCTCCCTGCTAAATGCGCAAAGCGTCCCGTCACCCCACGCTGAGCTCCATGGCCAACTCCGGCTGCCTGCTGCTCTCCGGCTCCGGGATGCTACCTCACTCGCTCCAGTGTCCCCCTGCCTTCCTCTACCTGCCCGAGGTAAGACTGAATGAAGCTCGCATTGTCGCTCTCTCCCCCTCTCTCTCCTCTCTCCGCTCCTCTCACTCGCTCTGCATCCGTCCCTTTCATTTCTCTTGTGCGCTCCTCGGGCGGCACGTGATGGTATCGCGCTTCGCTTTGTGTTGTTACCCAGAGTGCTTTCACCCCCCTCTCCTAACCCTTGACCCTCACCCTGCCCTGCCTTTGTGGAGACACAACAACAACAACAAAAAGAAAGAAAGAACGGAGGTGGAGGGGAACGGGGCATACCTCTTTAATTTTTATCCATCCGAGCCTTCCTGCTCTCCATCTCTTCTTGTCCTCCTCCTCCTCTCGTCTTCTTCCGTGCCTCCCTTCACTGAGTGAAATTAAAGCAGTGAATTAGCGATTCTGTGACGTGGGACCACGCAGTGTTTGTGTACATCAGTCGCTTCATGACTCATTGTGCTTGGAAATGTTTTCCCGGTCAGTCTGTTGTGCTCTGTCACTTCTCTGCTGCAAAGAGGAGGCAGTTTTACAGTTAGGTGTGTTTTTTTAAATGAAACATTACTGGAGGGGGGAAACAAAAAATATTTTCCTGAGTTTTTTTTTTTTTGATGCAAATGGATGTCAACTTTATTTTCTGTAGCTGTTTGCTCAAGAAGGCACCCACTTTTCTACATGTGTGTGGTGCCCAAATCCTGAATGTGTTACCTAATCTGACCCCAGCCTGGGTCTGCTCAACATTTACACTCCAGACTCCTCTTGAATTTAAAAAAAAATATCAATCTCACCCCCTAAATTTTGAAAGTCAGGCCTGCAGGATTAATACATGAAATAGTGATTACACTGCTGCTGTTTGAGTTGTGTTCAAATCTTTACTCGTCTCCTGTTTAGTTTCGTGATCTGCCAGCAAACCAAATGTCTACATTTCTTCGTCATATCTCTCTTTATGTCCACCCCACCCCACCCCCCTTTTTTTAAAAGGCTTATCATTGTTCTTTAATCCCTTTGAATTTAAGAATGTTTGTATGGTAAAATCATGTTCTCACAGGCAAAAGAAAATCTGTGCACTTGCTTTAAATACACACTACATTCAGACTTTGTAAAATTAAACTGTCACTTATTGTGAGATTTGTTTAAATTTATCACAGGCCTACAGCAAGCTCTTCAATCTCACTTCCCTTCATTTTTCCACCGTTGATCACCACCAAGTGACAACGCGTTGAATAATTATATATCTCTGCAAATTAACATTGATTTTCCCCTTCTTTTTGGGTCCTTTTTTTTTTTGTCCTCCTCCTTTGGAAATTGATTCTGTCACTGATCCCCTTGTTTTGTGAAACCTGAAGACTGCAATTTTCTGAAGGGAGGTGAAAAAATCAACAACAAGGTGACTCTTAAGAGCCCGTGTGCCTGTCTATCTGCTGAATTATTCACGTGTTTTAATTCAGCGAGTTGGTGAGGTGGGGGGGGGGACGGGAGTGCTGTTAGTGGTGGGGACGACGAAGAGGGGGTCAGTTGTGTTTTTTACTACCGGCAGCATGTGTTGCAGTAAACAGTGTGCGTTACTGCAGTGATTGTAGAAGGTGGGGGGGGATAACGGTGAGGCTGCCTCGCGATGAAAACTCCTGCATTTTCAAACCTCTCCCCTCCGTCTCCTCCACCATCATGGTAATGGCCCTCACCCCCTCCCACCCATCTGTCCAGAGCGGGCACACCCCACCGGCCAGGCGGGGGTGGAAGGGTGAGGTGTGTGTGTCGGGGGGGCGGGAGGCAGCCAGGTGCCACCAACTGCCAAAGCCACCTTGACAAACTCATATTCTAAGATAATGCTTTTTTTTTTCCTGATGGGGACATTTTTGTCGCAAATCTGCAACTAACTAAATAGTTGAATTTAAAGAGAAAATATTTTGCATCGTTATATTCACGCCTTCAATATCTTCATTTTTTATGTCAAGCAGTGGAAAACTTTCTGAGCTCCTTTCCGCACGTAAACTGAATGAGTTTAGGTGGGTTTACCTTCCACTACATCCCTGTTACTTCCAAATCCTCAAGGATGAGCAGCAAGCCTCTTGACTGAGTGTGTGTACACCTGACCGCACAAGTGCGTCCGCGCGCGTGTGTGTGTGTGTGTGTGTGTGTGTGTGTGTGTGTGTGTGTTTACGTCGACAGTAGATTCCTCCAAAAGTCCAAGACAGAGCTGAAATTGAAACTTCCTGTGTGCTATTTTCATG